GTTTTCCAATATTTGTTGTTTTTATTATTTCACTATCTCTAATACTATCTCTAATATTCAGTGCATCTTCAAGTCCACTATATAATTCTATACGTATTTGTTTTTGATTATATCTTAAATAATTAAGACGTGTTTGCTCCATTACTGCATACATATCAACAATCCATTGTTGAAAAAGTCATCCAAAATGGTGTAAAATAATTGTTTCACCAGAATGACCAACCTGAAGCCGGTATGCAAAATAATTCATTGCTGTAATATATTTTGATTCATTTGTATTATCATCATCATTATTATTAATTGTATTAATTTCTTCTTGTGCAAGATTATTTACAGGAATAAAAGGATGCCATCCATCTTCACCTTTAGGAAACATGAGAACATAATGAAGTGGCATGTATAAATTATGTATTTCTGATATTCGTTGAAATCCCCCTTTATGTGATTGTAATATTATATCTCTTTTCATTGGATTAGTTTCTTGTCCATCTTCTGCCATAATAATTGCAACCTCGGCTGCACTTGGTACATTATAATGTCGAGGGTCTTTTGTTCTATTATTTGTAATTACCATTCGCAAATCTATCATTGGATCATTTTTAAATATGTCTCTAGCTTGGTGAAATATTTTGACATATGGATTTACTTGATGTAACATTTGTTGAAGTTCTGCAAGAATAATTGGATCTAGATCAGGTATAATATTCATTCTGTTTTGTATCTCATTATTTGTATCATAAATGTATATCTGAGCAAATTGAGGATTGGCATTAGGATCAGGAAGTAAGGTACCTATTCTATGATATATTTCTCCATGAATTCGAAAAGTATAAATGCCACTGGTATTAATCATTTGTTGATCAATCTTTACTCCCATTGATGTGAAAGTAAATGCAGCATTATACATTTTAATCTTTTGCTGAAATAAGCATGCACGTGATTCAGTTCCAGTAAGAAGTGAATTTAAATGGGATGGTGGTTCCTGGAGAGGAGGAAGAAGAACTTTGCCATTTGCACAGCAAGTGGTAAAAACAGGAGATTTTATAGATAAATTTGCTGTTCTTTCATCTAACCACATCTGAGCTCCACAGTTAAAACATTTATTATTCATGCTACCTATAGAATGTCAATTCAATCCATGTGATATCCAAGGATAGATACGTGCTTTTAAGATTGGAACTGAAGGTATGGTTTCAAGTTGACTTTCTTTTGTTATAGTATTTTTTCTTTTTTCTAATTGCATCTCCATTATTTTTTCATTCTGTTGTCTTGCTTTTTTTCTTGATACTAAGTGATTATCTTTTTCATTATTATTATTAGTTATATCCGCAAGTACAGTAGTAGTAGACCGTTTTTTTTGTTGGTAACGTTGTTGCCTTTCACGATTAAGTCTTTTTTTACGTTCATCAGTAGTTTCATTCATTTGAGTATAGGATATAACTACAAGGACTTAATATCTTTAAAATAGAAAAGATCAATTACACATAAAGTATAGTATTCATCATTTTATAATAGATAAGAATGCGTTTAATCATGATTGTACACATTATTATTATTTTTAATAATATAGAGATTTATAGAGATCAGATAATATAATTTTTATTAATTAAAGATAGATATAATATAGATACAATGTATTTATTATATATTAAATTATTAAAGAATTTGTATATGCGTTCATCATAATCATGTTCATCATTATTTATTATTACACATTCATTATATTTTTTTTTTGATGTCCTAAGAATAAAATTTATATTTATAACGGAATTATCATATATTATTATTTAAGAATATTTATAACAGAATCTATTATTTAAGAATAATTTATAATGGAATTATTATTAATATTAATGTATTTTTTAAGAATAAAATGGTAATATAATAAATAATCATCTATATAATTTATTTAATATCTATATATATATAATTTTTTAAGAATAAAAATTTTAATTATTTAAGAATAAAATTTATAACGGAATTATTATTATTATCGATTATCTATCTATTATTTAAAATAAAAAAAAAAA